CAGGGCCTCAGGTCAGAAGGCACTCAGATGACTCAGGCAATGCAGTTATTTTAACTGATTATATAAATGATGCCTTAAAACCTCTGGCAATCAATGTTGATTGGAATCCTTAAATTAGGATTATTGTCAGGTCTGACAGAAGCAAGCATAATACCAAAGATGCACAAACACAGATCTAATGATCAGAAGTGTTGATTCCTGTATCCTCCTGCCATATTTTGTGCTGATCAAATTGCCACTGGGCCCACTCTGGGGATAACAGTAGGCAATTTCAGAAACACCTGCTGGCTGAGTGGCATCTATTTGAAAGAAGTAACCCGCTCGACTGTCAGTTTGTTTGTTTTTTATTACTAAAGAGATGTCCTTCCTCTTCACTTAGCTTATGGATGATTTCTAAAGGCATCTAATATCCGTATACTCTTGAGAAAGTAGGTGAAATTATATTTTTAATTTATAAAATGAATAGAGGCCCGCTGCACGAAATTCACCGGGGGGCAGGGAGCCTCCTTCAGCCCGGCCTGCACCCTCTCGCAGTCCAGGAGCCCTCGGGGGATGGCAGACTGATGGCTTAGGCCCGCTTGTCTTGGGGAGCGGGCCTAAGCCAGCAGTCAGACATTCTTAGTGCTGCCGCAGAGGTGGGAGAGGCTCCCAGTGGGATAGGCTCCCCCCACTACCAATGCGCTTGCCAGCGTGAGCCCAGCTTATGGGTGAGCAAAACTCCCCCTGTGGGAGCGCACTGACAACCAGGTGGTAGCTCCTGCACTGTTTGCCCCCTGGTGGTCAGTGTGCAGTATAGTAACTGGTTGTTCTGCTGTTTGGCTAATTCGCATATTAGCATTTTATTATATAGGATTACACAAATAGAGTATTACAATGTTAGCTAAAACTTTTACTGTTTATTTACCCTTCATATTTATTTCATAATTAACTTCCTCTATAAGTATTTATTAGGTGTCTGCTAGGATCGAGGCTTGCAGCTAGGTACTGTGAGGGATGTAATCCCTGACTACTAAGGGGCTCCCCATTTTATGGGACAACATATGGACACACATGATACACATGGAAGAGGTGTGGGGCAGGGAAGTTCTGGGTATGGTTTGAGAAAAGAAGCAGGTTTTCACTTTTCAGTTCTGTCCTGCAGCCTGGTTGATATGGCTGGAGCCCACCAGGTTCAGCATGGCAAGAGCAGGTAGGACAAAAACAGGTCATTCCAGAATCAGCTTGTGAAGAATTGCTGAACTCTTTGCTTCATCAATTGATATTATTTTCTGTTTATGAAGAAGAACATTTTGGCTTAAATTCCATACTCACCTTTTACAAGTTTAAGTTCCCTCCTCACAAGATTCCTCATTTATTATATAATCATGATAACTTTTTTCCTTAAAATATTATTTTGATATGTGAGGAATTACATGTGGATACTCTTTTAAACTTCAGAATGCTTATGTAATATTAAATTCCCCATTATTTCATACCCTTCCCTCCTTTATTATATAGTGGTAGCAATCTACAGCTCCATATTATCTTTCTTTTAAGCCTCTTATTGTTTGCTGCTCAAGGTCACTTAATCTTAAGTGTATGATCATTTGCATTCTGAATTGCAACTCCTTCATTAGTTTCTATAATTGTTGAATTTAATAGGACATTGGGGAGGTGGATAGCACAGGCAAAAGGAAATTGGATTTTGAACCTTTTATTATGATGACATCCATTTGATATAATAAAAGGAAAGCTACTGTCCTGATAACTTTCAGTGTGAAGTAAAGAATGAAACTTGGATTTGCTTATTAATTTACTGTTTAGAAAAATAAAGGCCCCAATACTGGTGTTCAGCTCATGTGTATTGAGCTCTTCCTGTGTACAAGACATTGTGAGCATTTAAGGAAGTAACAGTGTAAACACCCAGCACCTCCTCCATTGGAGCTAACGGCCAGGGTCTCCTCAGTGCTAATGAGAAACATGTATGTGACTTTATAGACCCAACCTCATTATTTTTTAGCAATGTGTAGTTATACAGGCAAAGCACTTTTTTTTCCTTTTATTTCTTCACAACTGGTGAATTAGGTGTTATCATAACCTCTGTTTTTAAAATGAGGAAAATTGAGGAGCACTAACTAGTAAGGAAGCAAGCTGATGCCTCTTGGACCCACACCTCATTCAAGACCCCCAACTCCCCCACCCCACCCCACCTGCCATAGTCAGGTTTCTTCTTTTGGGTTTTACTGTTTGGCAACATACAGGATATAAGTGAATGTTGTAAGTACTTACTTTTTAAAAAGCATGTGGAATTGAGAACTGAGTAAAGAAATACGGTATTTGTAAATTTGACATAACAACAAGACAGTTTATGTGAAACACTTTGTAAACTGTGAAGCCATATATATATTGTTTGTTAGTTTGAATGAATGACTAGTGAGGACACGGCAAAGATTTGGAGTCTATGGCTTTTGGCTTATATGATAATTCAACAGTTCACAGCGAATACAGGGAGGTTGGTCAAGAGTACTGATAAAGTAGGCATTAAATAGTGTGGTTTGAGGATTAATCACTTTTTAAATGGTTACAAATTCGGTGAAGGTGTCCAATTCAGCATACGGTGTTTACAAGTACATGACTAAATGGTATAGAGTTCTTTCTAAGGCTGTCATGCAGTCTAATTAATCAAAGCTGGCTCCCTAGGTCTGCCATTCTACTGACTGGCCTGCAAATAAATGGCCTTCTTGCCTGCTGCATTTTTCCACCCAAACATTGCACAAATCAAGGACAAGGATACTTGAAATGCCTCTCATGGCAATATTCCCAAAAAGTCAGCTTCCTGAAGTTGTTTAAAATCAAAGTGTCACCATGAACGTCTCAGTACTTTCATGAAGTC